ATATATAATTGAAAAGAAATAAAATAATATATTATTTTTAGTTCTGGACATATTAAAGAAAATATATGTGTTAAATACTCAAGAATGTCTAATTACATTGTTTGTCTTTAAGCTCAAAGCAGTATCTGGAGTCTGTGTTCCGTGAATTTTCTCATGATAAAGGGACATGATGATAATCACATGATAAGAAGCAAATTATAAATGTTCTGATCTGATGCCATTGTCATAGAAAAGAGGAGCACATTCTGCTATGTGCATGACAAAGGAAGTCTCACTGGGGAAAACTTTGGAAATTATAAACAGAAAACAGTCTGCAGCAAAAGAAAGGAATAGCAGGGAAAATGGGACCAAGGGGAACCTGACAACACATCCAAAGTGGGGTACAATCACCACATCACACCTTGTCTGGTAAGGTTACTAGATAAATGTTATCCTAACACTGGCAGGGGTACGAGCTGCACAACACATGCACAGAGTCTGTACATTGCCCTGAAGCATTCAAGGATGTGTGACTTGAGTATCCCAACAGGCTGTGGGCTGCTGGGGGGCATGTCATTTTTAGCCTAGGAAAAAAAGTTGAAAGCGATGGCTGAGTCTCCAAAAGAAGGTATTTTTATTAAAATGTATATGTATTTGAAATTTTGTGAAAGGACAGAAGGAGCGATACTATCGAATGTACACAAGGAGAGTGATGGTCTGCTCTACCAGCTTTTAGTCCCACCGATCCACCATGTAATGGAGATGAACAAAGTCAGCCTGTGTGACGACCATGGCTGCCCACACACATACAGTGGGGTGGGGAGTGTAAAAATGAAGAGACAGAAAGTGTGTATTTGCAGGATTTCCAGGTAAAAAAAAAAAAAGCCAAACACAAAAATGAATGCGGCCATTACATCTGTGGAATGGAAAGCTGCAATATATTGAATGAATGTTTTTGGGTTTACACATACTCTGGGCATTGTAATCATACCTCCCAACCGTCCCTCAATTGGAAAGACTGTCCCTCTTTTAGGAGCAAATCCCTCTGTCCCTTTTGCCTCCTCAGTTGTCCCTCTTTGTGGTCCAACATACAGATATCTATAAAATGTATCATATAACTACCAAAATTATTATTCTGCACTGAAACCTTTATATTATTTCTTAATTATCTTTTTTTTTCATTATAAAGAAAACGTAATGGTAAAACAAAAACAATTCCGGGTCTAACCATTCATTTTTGCCATATAAATTCCTAATGGTCCACATGATTGGGGGCATAGTAGGGGTGTGTATTGCCCAAACATATTGTACTAGAAGGTGTCCCTCTTTCTCATGTATATATGTAATTAGTAGCCTTCTCTTTGCAGACAAACATTACTCTTTCACTTCCCTCAGGAAGTCTAGCACTATCCATTATCTTCAAGTCTGTTTTCAACTGAAGTACATTACTCTATCCCTTGCACTCATCAATGTTATTTTTCAATATTAAAATCAAAATAACGTAAACATTAAACTTTAATTTACATAACTACACAGCTCATTTCTCATATATGTGTGCTGTGCGTTCTATTATAGCTTCATGAAGCACAATGTAGTTTGGTGCCCTCTAGTGTGCAAATACCTAACTGAAACACACAGCCATATACTGTAGATTACTGTTGTAGGTGGTGCTCTTATTAGCTAAAAGGAAATATACTGTACAACCATTATATATAGTATTTTTGTAATATCCATGTGAATATGTTTAATGTAATGTAAATAATCTAACAGACTTTGTTTCTGTTTATAGTTGGTAAATATACAAATACGTTGGGCAACCATATTTATTTTTGACTCATGCAAACTCTACTTCCTACATAATTCTGCTGCACAATGACTGTGCTTTGTTCCTCTGTGTCGCTGCAAGTCTGCCGGTTTTCTAAGCCTGATTATAGGAATTTTCTATGCTCCTTGGCTTTATCTAGTGGTGGGAATGCCTTCTGAACGGCATTCGCCCAGCTATACGCTGACTGGAACGTTTATACATCAGCCCCTAAGTGTTGAAAGCAATGACCTTTTACTGTGAATAAGAGCAAATTGGGGCAGGGCTTGCCACTCCTTTGTTCTCCATAATTCAGACCAATAAACTGTTGTTTGGTTCTATGAGCTTAAAAAGAATGCTCTCTTCTTTTTGCTGATCAAAGTTTTTCAGCTCTAAATTTCAGAAGGAATTTTTAAAGTCATATCATGCCTTGTTGTAAGTCATGCCATCCTGTCACGAGAGAAAGAAGTGTTAAACAACATGGTCCCATGAGTTTAGACATGAAGACGCCACTACATAACTTCTCTCTGGTTCTTTATACCACCCCAGGAACCAGGTGCTGTCAGATACCAAGATTTATAAAGTCAGGGTATGGTCATATTCTTCCCATATGTCAATGTCCATACTTATTGTGGGTTGGGGCAGCCTCAGAATTGCACAATTTATAGGAATTACAGTGGCTTCTGGGGTTCTCAAGTGTGTGGCCAACTGGAGGGCAAGGTATGCACTGGCACATTATGCTACCTATACTCTTTTCTAATGACAGGTTTGCTTTGATGTCATGGAAGCAATAGGCCTAAAATATTACACTTTCTCTAAACATTCAAAATTATACAGTAGTTGTTGATGTTTAGTCATACTTAACATTACTAAGGGTCCCCACTGCCTGCATCCTTCTGGTTTTCAGCCCACAGCTCCACATTCAAGTGAATCACATATTGCAGACAATGCTAAATATTATAATGCACATTATTACAGCTGATCGTTGAACTTCATTGTAATGTTATTGTGCTTCAATAATACTTACTTCAGATCTATAGGCTCTTAGAAATAATTTCCTTTTCTTAAAACATCTAATCTCATCTCCGCTTTGTAGTGCTTTCAAAATGTTACACAGTGAATACCATCATCACTTTATTTCTGTCATTAATCATATTGCTTCATTCATGCTGGCAGAATTATAGCAGGGTTTTAGGAAGATAACTGCAGTATATATATCAAATCTAACATCTGGATTTCTCCTTTTACAGACTTTGTCTCAGACTGGTCACTGTTACATGAAGCAGCAATACATGGCCGCTTTGGTACTTTAAGAAAACTAATTACAGATGTAAGTAAAGAGAATCATGGTTTCTCCTTTAACTAGGTCAGTGGTGGAGAACGATTAAGAGGCAGTTAGGCTTAGAGTCAAGGGTTAGGAAGTTATGTTTAAGGGTTATATTAAGGGTTACAGTTAAAAGGATAGCTAGGCTTAAGTGTTATGATTCTATTAAGTGTTCAGTCTCAGAGTTATCTTTGGTGTTGGGAAGTTAATATTAAGGGTTAATGTTTTTGAGTGTATTGAGAATTAAAGCTAAATCCCAGGAATACAAGATAGTTCACTCCTCCGTAGGTGCTTCTTTGTGCTGCTATGTTCCAGTACTCCTTATCAGAAAAGATTGCCCTAGCCAACCCCCCCAAAACCTAAGCAAAAATGTCTCCTGTGACAGATTTCACATACTTATGGACAAATGCAGCCTGCTGGAAACTGTGGCTCGGTTTATATCCTGTGCTCCCGAATCTCTCCTATGGTGATTTGTATAGAGACACTCTTGAGATAAGACACATTTCTAGCCATCAATAGCCTGGTGTGGAGTGGGTAAAAAAATCCCAGAGTGCACAATGTAATCTAAGTCATGGATCCCAGTGATGATGGGTTGGGGATGATGTTCAGGATAGGTGATAGTTGAGTGGGCCATGAGGAATAACAAGGAAATTAAGGTTTGCTCTGAGCACTAGAAGTCCCAATCTCAATATCCAGAACCTGGTTCAGGCACCTAAAACAAATGTATTGAATATAGTAGGCTCAGTGTGTTGGATTATAGAGATATCACAAGACATCTAACTCCAGACATACTTGATGGAACATTTATCCTAGTTGATGAGAAATGTTCCTGTGCATGCCTTGCATTTTGGCTAATAGAATCTCTAGCTTGTTAGCAGAGGTAATGTTTTTTCTTCTTCTTAAAGGTTTACCTATCTTTCCCTCACAGGGACATAGTGTAAACCTGGCTACAGCAGATCACGTAACTCCTCTTCATGAAGCTTGCCTTGGGGGTCATCCTGGCTGCGTCACTTTCCTGCTGAAACATGGAGCTCAGGTAAAAACATTCTTGTGTTGAATGTACAGAACGAGGTGTAAAATGAAACTCCTCAAAGTAAAAATACACATCATATTTCCAAAAAAACAAAAACTGTTTCAAGACAAATGTTGCAGTCATCAAGACTCAACATTCAAGCAGTTTATGGGCAACTTTAGTCCCTGTATTGCAAAGTAGATATCAACGAAGGTAGTTCTGATGGAGGGGTCTGAACCCTCTCCCAACAACTCCCTTTATCCAGGCCCTTTCTGGAGAAAGGATTGTCCTTGCCAACTCCCTCTCTTTACTACTTAGTGCATCAGTGGTAAAATCTAGAATGAGAGTCAAAATGGATTAAAAATGGAGGCAATGGAGTGCATTAAACAACATTAATTTGCTATAAACGTTTATTATTGACGGTGCAAAGTATCCCACACTACAGTGTGTACTTTGACAGAGTCCTTACTTCAGAATTGAGAACTAGTATTTGAACATATTAAAAGAAGCTGAGAACCCTGGATATGTCTTTAGCCTGTATAGCTCCTGTTCCAAAGCCACAGCATATATAACTTTTTGTAAACAAATCCTTCTAAAACCTTCTGTTGACTCATTCTAGTTTGCAGTGCAGCAATGTTAATTAAGAAACTCAATGAACTCCTGAGTTTAATTTATTGATGACTCTGCTTGTTTCGTTCTAAGGTGAACACTCCTAATATTGACTGGAAAACTCCAATATTTAATGCTTGTGTCAGTGGCAGCACAGCCTGTGTGAATTCACTTCTACAGCATGGAGCCAGCCCGCACGCAGTATGTGATGTAGCATCTCCAATACATGAGGCATGTAAAAGAGGTAACTATTTACACAGTATTATCCTTGCTCAGCATTCTATTTTGTATAATTGTATGCATAAGGGAACTGAAGGAGCACTCCTTGCAAATATTTCCATAAACTTACATAATATCACACAGTGCAAACACTGTTTCTTTTTCTTGATCTTGAGATGCAGCAGTACCTGCACTAAACGTTACAAGTCACATCTTAGCCCATAAAGGAGGTGGTTTTGAGGGACAATTAATGGATGCAATAGCATTCTGTGTAACGGGCAATTGTTGTCCAGAACCAACAGAGACAGAAAGTTTGACACTGGCTACAGGTTCAAAATCTGTCTTTCTTTCCAATGGAGTATCTAAAAACTAAAACAAATATCACTCAATAGTTTGTAACATAGTGTTTATTACTGAATTTTGGGTTTGCTTTGAGATTTCTCTCTTGGTATTAACTTAAAATCTTATGTTTTTGTCACATCTAATATTACATAGTGGGGCAGTGAGATAATAAACCATTTATATAGTGTTAGCTGTCCACATGCATTAGTTCAAATTCTGATTACTGCTATTTGGGGAGTATCTATAATTATGTATTGCTGTCTATGGAACAATTGCATAAATGCACGATTCCATGCTCTTTTGCAATCAACTCCACCTTTAAACAGCAGAACCATGCCCATACTGAGCCCTGTTATGTTCATTTTCCAAAGAACCAATTCTGCCCATTTAGGATGTATAGTTAAAACTAGGTATCCCCAATGAAGAATCTACAAGCATGTGTATGAAATACAGTCATGAAAATATGGATCATTAAAGTGACATTAAACCCACAGATTTTTTAACATAAACCAATACTGTAATGTGTGCCTTACTGTAATCCATGGTTGTTTCCCTTCTCTTTGCTGCTCTTCCTTTTAAATCCTTATCTCTTCTCATGCTGGGTAGAACTTCCGTTTTGCAGCTGACTGCCTCTTCTCTGGAATGTTACATGGTGTCTGTGTACGCGCTCCCAACCTAAGCCAGGACTACAGAATGACATCCTCCCGACATCCACATCCCCGCCCACTTTAGATTGGTAACAGCTGCTGCCTGCATGTGCCGTTGTTTTACTCTTTTCTGCTGTGTTGGTGTCTGATCGATTCTCCTATTCAGTGCAAGGTATTTTTTTTCTCTTTTTTTAAAACAAACTTTATTGCTTATGTTTTTCATAAACAACCTATTCATTGAAAAAACATAAGCAATAAAGTGTGTTTAAAAAAAATAGAAAAAAAAATACCTTGCTCTGATTAGGAGAATCGATCAGACACGAACACAGCAGAAAAGAGTAAAACAACGGCACATGCAGGCAGCAGCTGTTACCAATCTAAAGTGGGCGGGGATGTGGATGTCGGGAGGACGTCATCCTGTAGTCCTGGCTCAGGTCGGGAGCGCGCACACAGACACCATGTAATATTCCAGAGCAGAGGCAGTCAGCTGCAAAACGGAAGTTCTCCCCAGCATGAGAAGAGATATGGATTTAAAAGGAAGAGCAGCAAAGAGAAGGGAAACTACCATGGATTACAGTAAGGCGCACATTACAGTATTGGTTTATGTTAAAAAAATCTGCGGGTTTAATGTCACTTTAGGCATGTAATATCTAACTACAGAAACTGTTTGTTTTTTTAAACACAGGGAGGAGTTAAAATTTCAGCCAGTCTTTTATTTTTCTCTGTCAACACACTGCAGAAATCTTCTATCACTACTTGTCCCTGTGACACACATACAATTTAAGGGGGGACAGTAAGGCTCAAACATAAAACAAGGTAAGATCAGTGGCGTAACTATAGCCATAGCTGCCCATGACTGTCAGTCATTTTGGTGTCACCCCATCCAATGGTGTCACCGGGGTGCGGGCCGCACTCCCTGCACCCCCCTTTTGACGCCACTGGGTGGAAGGGAGCCCCATTATGTTTTTGAGGCAAATTACACATAGAACATACTAGAGTACTGTATCATTAAGGGTTGAAGTGGTTGCAGTTGACAACAACTCTTATCCCATGTAAAGTCTACAGCATAGAGATGACTTCAGACGAACAAGAGGAGTCTTTGGGATCTTGGCATCGTTAATCACAGCTCAGAGAGATATCGTCAGGGGGGCCTCCATTACATTTTTGCTATGGGAACACGTGATCTTTAGTTGCGTCCCTGGGTCAGATGTTCTATTTATTCCTCACTCTTCTAAATATGTTTATGCCTGTGTCCCTGTTGTAGAGATTGTCCATCACTTCCTGTCCTATACGGGACATGAGGGGGGATCTCCCTCAAAGGAACACAGATGGTGGTAAAATCCTGATAGAGGTTCTAACCCTTTTTATGATTTACCAAAAATATAATAAAAGGTTCTGGCTGTAGTTGGGCTTAAGTCCCAACAAAAAGTTCAACAAGGATTTCTTTCAAGATGGTGTAACACATGTGGAATTGAAGTGTAAAAATAATGAAGTTGTCGCTTTAAGTCCTTGGCCAATTATATTATACTTACAGAGAACTTAGTTTTCTGTAACTTTTCTGCTCTAGCATGATGTCAGTAGGACAAAGCAGTGACAGTGTCAGCATTCCCAGCTATATTGCTTGGGTTCTGTTGCAAATGAGTACTTTATTATTGCGAGTCTTTGCGACCTTAACAATTAATTCTTCTATTACATCTCATGACCTTGACGCTGTGTAAATTTCACAGGTTGTAACATTACATGAAGAACCAGCCGGCGTTGAAGTACTACCAATTTTCCCATTAAACTGCTGTGTTCCTCTGCCAGTAAAGCTCCATTAGCTGAGACATAAATCACAGAGAGTGATAAAGGGATGACATAAAGGGCAACTAATTGCTGATACAGCCGATATGACTTTCATTGGTGCGATATTAAAGACAGCTTACCAGGTCTGCGCTTCACAGACCTTATTACTTTATAAGGAGCTCTGTTCCTGTTAGTGATTTTATTTGAAGCTGCCAAGTAAATGGAAAGAGTTAGCTTCTGATTTTCAGAAAATGAACTTCTTTTGTTATTGTGCAGTTCTCATATTTATTTCTAAAGAAAGGAAATCTGTAATAAGAGAAATATGGAGGCCACTATTGCTGAAAATGCTATTTGTGTGGTTGTTATGCTGGCCTTCTGGTTTTAATACTGTGAGGCCTTGACCTGAAATATGTATGCAGTGAAGGGTTAATTTCTACACTCTAATTTTAACTCACACATATTCTGAGATACTTCCAGGAACATCCCAGCTGCACAAGTAGCAAATGTCCTGAGCTACATCCTTCAGCACTCAGTGGAATATCTGAGTGGGGCTGTCTGAGACTCAAGACCAGGATCATGGACTGACTTTCAGCCATCGCTGTTATTAAACATCACGGATGGCCTCTTATGTCCTCCTCCAGAAGTCTACTCCATTGTTACTTTTCCAACTGGGAACCAGACTGAGATGCATACAGTCCACTCCTGAATGGCTGCTGCACACCTTTCTTCTGGCCCCTAGTTGACACTCACTTCACTTCCCACAACCCATATTCTTTGATAGCACCAGAGAAGACAATGGGCACACATACATTCACACACTTCATTACAATCTGTGTTTTATATGTTTTATATGTCTTAACTTCAAGTCATAGAACTAAACCCATGTTGCTATATTATGGTGGCGTCATGTACCTGGTTGGAGACTGAATGCGTGAGGAGGCCTCCCTTGCACCTCGTGTCCCGAGGACTCTGAGATTGGGGACAGAGTCCAAGTAGACAGCGAGTGGCACGAGTGCCAGTGGCAAGCTGAAATCCAAGGGCTTTTATAGGCGAAATCCAAGTAAACGAGCCAAGGTAAAACCAATCAAGCAATAACGGTACAGAGTGGTCAGGCAGACACAAAGTCCAGTAAACAAATGCGAGGTTGGTGGCAGGCAGCAGGCAAGAATCGTCAAGACAAATCCGGGTCACAGCAAATCAAGAAGGAGATCACAGGAACACAGGAGAGCTGAAGATAATATTAGGGTAATGTGTCACTTCCTGTGCGCCGTTTTGTTGAGCTTTTGCGCGGCTGGTCCATGGCGCCCGGGCATGCGCGGAAAAGCATGTTTTCCCATAGTACGGGAAAGCGCGCTTGGCGCATGCACAGTTACAGGGGATCTCTTACAGGTGGTAGGCTTGGAGCAAACTATGTAAGCACCCCTTATAAGTCAATGAATGGAAGCGTCGATATGAGGTTTATAACATAGGTATTCACTGGAATATCCCCCTCTGTTGTGTGTTTCAGGCCATACACAGTGTGTGGAGTCTCTGTTGAACTCAGGAGTTAGTATACAACAATACATAAAGCATCTGGGCTCTCCACTCTATATGGCTTCTGAGAATCAGAAAGTGAACACTGCTAAAAGACTTCTTGAATTAGGTAAAGAATCTTTTTAACATGAATTCAAACATTCCTTTCTTCTGTTCCTCTAACATTTGAATTATTTCAAATATAAGTTTGTTTTTTCCACTAGGAGCAAGTGCAAATATTGGTAAAGATCTGGACACTCCGCTACATGCTGCAGCAAGAAATGACAATGCCGATCTAGTGAATCTACTTATTGACTATGGAGGAAGCACACAGAGCAAAAACGCAGATGGAAAACGACCCTCAGAGCTCATCCCTCCACATAGCTCAGTGCAGGAGATCTTTAGGAAAAGAGAAGGTAGACTTTAATCCAAAGTTCTCGAGGGCTTGTAGCCATAAACATTTTGTCCCAGCAGAAAATCTTAGCTAAAGGAGGTCGAATATCGATTAGTTATAAAAATATTAAAAGAAAAGTAGTACCAAAGTTTATTTTAATGCTGTCAATGATATACAGGCTGCTATGGTTAACTCAAAATACATCTCCAAACAGTGGCATTAGATCTTAAACTGTATGAAAACCCTAAATGTATGTCTCACTGTATAATTTTCTGAAAGGAGAACTCTTGGCAGAAATTTCTATTAACCATTGCAGTGGGGCAACCCCATCTCCCACTGCAAGGGTTAACTGCTTGTTTTTGCCTAGGGTAAAAAAAGAGTTATACTCACCTGAGTTTCCAAGTAGGAAGGTCTAGGAGTCCTCGAGCCATCACATCTAATACAGTGTATAGGCCATGTGGACGCTGAGGGACATACTATCCTTGCAGTGGAGGAGACAGGCTGGAGGGAGTGACTCAGAGGTTGGGGTTAATATAATTTTTTTTTTACCCTAGGCAAAAACGAGTAGTTCACTCTTGCAGTGGGGGGTAACCCCACTGCAAGGGTTAAAAAAATTATGTCCAGTTCTTTAGGCAAATAGCTTTTTTGTAAATTTGTAGCAAACTTTCTTACCCGGAAATCCTGCCAGTAACTGCGCTTCCTGTTACAGACTGACAATGCCAAGCCACTGCATCACAAAAGTGTTGTCAGCCTGCTCTGCAAAGCTCCTTCATTTGGTTGTTGGCCTACCTACCTGATCTTACCCCAACTGCTAACTAATGGAGCACACATGGAAAGCTGACAAGGGCTTCTGCTAAGTGCACGGAAGCTTGCATTGTCAGGCTGCAACCGGAAATGCCGTTACTGACAGGATCTCCAGGTAAGAAACTTTGCAACAGATTCATAGAAAATGATTTAATTAAGAAAACTGTTATTGTTTTCAAGAGTAGCCAATGTATAACCCTCCAACTATGGTAAACCTACACATCCCATTAGGCACTGCATAACTCTGAGTCCCAGGCATGACTCCCAGCAGTAGATGCATATTGGGATTTGTAGTTTCACCATAGCTGGAGGGCTGATGTTTAGCTACCCCTGCTGTATACAGTGGGGCATGATGATAAGCATGCTGTAAAATAGACTTTGGGTTTAAATACACTTTATCTTGTCCAGATAGCATGTTCCTTGTTGAAATTCTGAAAACTTTAACACCTTTTGGGCTAAAAACTTACTATAGACTTGAGGACCATTCCTGTAGCCGTCATCTTCTAGAGGGAACTCAACATTACCATGTGTTCAGCTGAGCCTCTTCTTCAGAGGAAAAAACGTAAATGCAGCAAAGTATGTAACCTAATTTGTTGCTGACAGAATGTTTGGTGAGCCCCCAGCTGACCTCTGTAACTTTCCCCCCAAGATAAGCCAGCAATAGAAGGTTTTAGATATGTTTCTGCTATAGCTCTACAGGCACACTCAGATGATCCCAGCATACCTTTCTATACACCAGTCTGTAAAAAATAAAACTTGTAAAAGAGCTTATGCATTGAGAAATGTATTATTTGTGTAAGGAGTCCACTTTACTTGACATATATGACCATATATGACCATATATGACCACAGCTGGTAGGACCATGGTCCGGGCGGACAGTAATGCCAATAAGGGGGCATACTCAGATAGTGTGAAGAGTGAAATGAGGTGAACTCCTGACTGAAGAACCCAAGGGATGGGTGGGGGGGGGTTGCTCGGAAGACCTCCCGTCCCCAGCAGACGGATCGGCGCTGCTTAAGTGGGGTAAGGAGGCGCAGACTCCTCCCACAAATTCAGGCTAACCTGTTAGCCTTCCAACTTATTTTATAATATCATCATATATTTTTAAATCTACATAACGTAGTTGGTGATAGTCTTGATTCCCTATTTTAACTTGTGATTTTTATGTAACAATGAGTGCCGTACATGAAGCCTGGAGTGAATAGGGGTATTTAGGCACCCAATAAAAACAGAATTTTTTTTTTACTGACTTTTGCATACAGCATATCTGTAAAAAATAAGTCAAGGCAACTGGACTTACTGTAATTTTCTTGAAGACGTTTAACTGGTCATCCAACCAGCTTTCTCAATTCAGAATGACTTGTACAAAAAATTATCTGGGAATAAATATGGTGAATTTCGCTCCAATCCACATAATCTGTTAGTCACACCCAGGCGTTGATTGCATTTGCATAATTGGAGTTAGGAGATGTTATTAACCTGCCCAGAGAGAGGTGTTAAAACAGCATTGTATGTGGCAGATAATAGATGTCCCCCCCCCCACCACCTTTATTCAAGCTTGTCTTCTCCATTTTTACAATAACCTCTTTCACACCTCTTTTAAACCAGTCCAACATTCACCGTATTTATTCCCAGAGAATGTTTTGTACAAGCCATTGAGAAAGCTGGTTGGATGACCAGTGAAACGTCTTCAAGAAAAATACAGCAAGTCCAGTTGCCTTAACTTATTTTTTACATCATGCTACACTTTGCTGAAGTAATAAACCTACAACAAACAGGCTATATGCAGTCACATAGAACAGCTTGGTGCTCCCTTTTGTGTGAGTTACTTCTCCCCACAGAATGGCATGTTCACTCATGAGCTACAGCTTGTCATTGCTAGCAGGATATTCATCCAGTGATCAACAAATGTTAAAGTTGGAACTTAATTCTGGAAGCTGTGCCCAAAAGAGGCAGTCGAAGGGAACAGAACTTGTATTGCCTGGGATCTCCCTGCAACTGATCTTTTCCCTGTTAATGACTTACCATGCTTTGTTCTGCACTGTGTCTCTTTTTGAAAATGGCCATCTTGGTAGAGGCAGGACTTTTTCGGAAGCAGTCCAAGCCCAAATGGTAAAATTACACTTAAATACAGTATGCTTAGGCCCAATTAACACATTCCCTGTAACATAGCAAACATTCACTCTCTGAGTCCAGGTCCACTTTAAGAGTTGTGTAAGCAATGAAAACATTAGAAATAATCTGAACACTTATCTAAGGCTATAATGTTTATCCTCTTTGATCCTGTGAAAGTGTTTTCTGTTTTACCTACACAAGACAGTGATAGGTATTTCATCATTCATTGCCATTAAATGCTTTGTATGTACTATATATTAAAAAGGTTTCATTGCTGCTGTTGATTCATTTATCTGATGCTGTAACACATATTACATACCAGATTCTTGTGTGGTATTTTATGTTTGTTGATTTGTCTGCTGTGTTTATTCTCTAAACATCTGTGGAATTCTTTTCCCAGGGCCGCTGACTTTGAAGCAGATTTGTCGTCTTTGTATTAGAAAGTGCTTTGGACAAAAACAGCACCATAAAATATGTCATCTTCTCCTTCCAGAGACAGTAAAGCAATTCCTTTTACACAGATAAATTACAATCTATATTTATTTATTTTTATAGCATATAGTTTGATAGTTTGTATATTGGTAAAGTATTAACTGGAACTGACTTGAACAATTTTAGTAAAACTGCTGTATTTGATAAATATTTGTTGAGGTTTTCTTTTTTTTTTTTTTTAGATATGAGCACACAATTTAATACTTTGGGGTTCAACAAATACAATACATTAAAATGATATGAAATGGGTAAGGTATTTCAAAGGGAAACTGCATTGCTTTTGGGTTACAAGTTTTATATCTTGTTTTGATTTGTATAAACCTTTTGATATTGATTAGCAGAGCATCTTCTTTCTAAAGGGAAAGCCCAGCACCAGCCACTCACTTGCTGACTGTCCCAGTGTAACTGAATTCAGATCGGCCAGAGAAGATATCGAAGAGGGCGTGGTGTATAAAATATAATTTTTTAAAATTTATTGAACATAATAAATACAAAATATATAAAAAATCAATATACATTTCCGTTAAGAACTTCAGTAGTCTGAAATGGTTATGTTCCATATATTTACATCTAGAAACTACAATTCTCATGACTTCCAATTTTTAAATGAACCTGTAAGGTTCCTACAGAGTGTGGAAACTAACAATGCTGGGAAGTGCTGATGCTTTCCACTACCTGTGTTTATGTTCAGATTGGTTCCTGTTTACATCTGCAGGACCCCATAGCCTGGGCTCAGGCTGTCACTGGGCCTCACCCTTTGTTCAAGTCAGTATTAAAAGAGAAGTAAAGTCAAATCTTTTTTGCTTTTTTTACTTGACTAATATACTCCTGTGTCCTAAAGTCTGCATATATTGGGCTAATGCTCACTATTTGCTATCAGCAAAGAGCCGTATTGCAGCGGAGAAGGATTCCGACAATATACAACTCTCTAGAGCCAAAGCCAACTGTGCCGCCCCCTCCCTTATCTGTCCCTTCAATGAGCACTGGAGGAACAGAGAGGGGAGGGGGGAATGCCTGTGGGAGAAAAGTTGCTGACAGTCATTGTTCTATCTAGGTAAATGTCAGGGTACCCTGCACGGGTGTTCTCACACCACATGCAGGTACCCACGCAGGATGACCAAATTAATATGCCCACACAGGATAGGGTTATATGCACAGTTTATTGGTTCCACATCAACAAAACTACAAACCCAACAAAGAGGGGTAACAGGCCTGCAGATGTACAGCAGGCCTCGGGATACAAGAAGAGTGGTCAGGTAACGGGATCATCGGAGACAAGGAGCTGGGCAGCAGGCAAGCACCACTGTGGTTGACACGGGGTTTCAGGACATGCGGTATCCTCCAAAACTATAGCGTAGGCCAGAAGGAAAGGAGTCTTAAGAAATGGGCAAGGACCCCACTGGCTTGAATGGGCAAGTCTGTCCAAAAGGTGAAGGAAACCCCTCGGGATAGCATGGAGGGACGTTGATAAGGGAGGCCCCAGGGATGGAGCATCTTGCACCAGGGCAGGTTGGCCAGGAACCGGCATCGGCTCGACCGGAACAGGAGCTGGGTCGGGCGGGTCGGCACCGACCGGAACAGGAGCTGGATCGGCATCGACCGAAACAGGAGCTGGATCGGATGGATCATCGACAGGAACAGGAGCTGGATCGGATGGATCATCATCGACAGGAACTGGATCGGATGGATCAGCATCGACAGGAACAGGAGCTGGATCGGATGGAACAGGATCGTCTTCAAAAGGAACGGGATTGTCTCCAACGGCAACGTCCCGAACAGCAACAGGATCATCCCGAACAGGAGCGGGAACCGGCTGAACTGGAACGAACCCTGAGTATCTAAAACGGTCATCCACAGTCTCATCCTCAGAGCAGTCACTCCAATCCTCATCATCCGAACAATCTGTCCATTCTTCGAGCTTTTCAGCTTCTGACCGATACTCGGCTAAGAGACATGAGGGGTCTTGCTGGGCTGCCTTGG